AACATTGCGCAACCCCCGCTATGCAAGATTCCAGAAACTCCTCCACAAAATGCACGCCGATCAAAACCCAGGTCATCTACCGGTCCTGCCCATCGTCTTCCTTCTTTAGTTTGCTATGTATGTCTGCCTGTCTGTCAGTCATTATTCAGCTACAACTATTCTTAAAATGCAGGGCCTCTATGCTCTGGAAGAAGATCGCACCGGATGCGGTGAATACAACCATGCGCTTGGTTGCCAATTGTCCAGAGTTAAAAAGCAAGATGCAGAAGTTACCACGCAATAAGCCATGGGAGGTTATTCCTCTGATTCGGTAAGTTTATTTGCTCTCTCGTCGCAGCTCGGTCATCTCTGACTCCCTGATTCTTTTTCATAATCAATTCATATATATTGATATATATGTATTTACTCTTTAATTTGTTTAAGCATCATGTCATTTAGGTCCCGAAAATCTTAAAATGAATTTTTTAGGACCTCTAACTTATCTTTGTCTCTTATCTTTGTGTGTAATTTAGGTTCCAAACTTTCAAAATGCTATTTTTAGGTCTTCGGACTTTCAAAATGCTATTTTTAGGTCTTAGGACTTATCTCAGCTTGTCATCAAGTTCCTGAATTTGTCATAGTATGTTATTTAGGTCAAAATAAACCCAATCTAGTCTGTCACGACGGTTAGATCCACATCTCATTCTTGACAGAGGAAGAACTTAATAGCAAGGTATTTGTTCACCTACCTCCTCCACCTAAAGAGCACTAGCTTTGGCCTTGCCGCCATCACTACTGATGACATCGTGGCCTTTGATGTGGAGGATGATGAAGGCATATGGTGAGGGTGGCAAGTTGGTGACGGTAATGCGATGCCACACAAAATTGAATGCGAAGAGAGGGGAGAGCATGAAGATGCAGCTAGAAGACAGAGAGAGCATGTAAATGAAGCATCAGAGTCTAGAGACCAATATGTGGGTTGGTTGGAGCTAGTTTGAACCTAGATGACACACTGTGACATTAAAAATAAAAATTTGAGAGTTCTGAATCTGGATGACACATGGAGACAAAATTTTAAATCATAAAATACATTTTGAGAGTTTAGATATTTTTTTAGATAATGGAACAAATGTTCTGGCTTCAGCTTCTCACAAAGAGAAGCATCAGACCAAGTTTATTACCTTTACACCACGAGACTAGTATAAAGACCGCTCATGTGTTTTACTCTTTGTTTAATTTATCCAACGGCACTAATTAAATCCAACTCTTATGTATGCGTGTCTACGTGTCGTACTCGCAAAGTAGAGCACGAGGATCCCAAAGGCGTCGCAAGAGCAGCAAGGTAGTTGGCCGCACTACAGCACATGCCCTCTCCCGTGCCTTTCTTTTGCAACGGAAGAGGTGAGTTGATCATACTCAAATTTTGTCATCTGATGCCTGCAAAATGTTTTTGACAATATTTTCCTCAAATTTTGTCTTCTAATGCCTGCAAAATGTTCCTGCTTCCTACTTGCAGGCTACATTCGACCTAGGAGAAAATTGTATACTCAGGTACCCACGTTAATGCCTCTAACCAAACATACTGAAAGCATGACTCCTAGTTAGGGTTTCGGTGATTAATGACGATACGAGATTATAGCGACTAACGTGTGTTTTACAGATGCAATTAAGTTAGATCATGATAATATGGCAATTGATTGGGCAATCATGGTTGTCATGCCACTACGATGGAAATCGTTTCGGTTTTCAAAGGATGGACGATAAGGTTAAGGATGAACTAGTTCTAAGTGTCGTTTGGTGTTGAAGAGACACTTAGAGTAGTTTAGGACTTTGTTTTTCCTTTGGCCGTACTATTAAGAAGGGTATGGACGGGTAGCTTGACCTAAATGAGTCTAGTAGGTTAGGTGTAGTGCACACTTGTCAAAACTAGCACTAGGTAGCTCCTAAGTAGCCCTTAGATCAATTGGAGCAAACTTCATTCACATATGATTGCGAGTTGAAAGTGAATAGAGGGTCAAATGTTGACCGGACGCTGGTTCCGGTGTGACCGGACGCTGACGCAGAGTCCGGTCAGTTCATTTGATCAAGGTGAAGTCGTCTGGTGCGACCGGACACTGAGAGGTGAGTGACCGGACGCTGGGTGCCAGTGTCCGGTCAACTCCAGTAAGGTTCCAGAGAGCAGTTTTCGTGACCGGACGTGTCTGGTCAGTGCTGACCGAACATTGGTCAGTGTCCGATCACAACTTAAACTGCGCAGTGGCGGGTGAACTGATCGGAGCGTCCGGTCACCCCGCAGAGGCACATAACGGTTCGTTTTGAACAAGGGTGTATAAATACTTCCTCTATTCATGTGAGGGATTACTTTTGCTCATTTCAACAGCTGAGAAACACCCTTGAGAGTGCCAAGAAGAGCAAGGTCCTAGTGAGGTGATTGAGATTTGAGAATCTAAGAGAGAGACTTCATTAGTGAAAGCAAGAGTAGCAAAGTGTGCATCCACCTTTCTCATTAGGCTTGTCGTGGTCAAGTGAGAGTTTGTGCTTGTTACTCTTGGTGATCGCCATCACCTAGACAGCTTGGTGGTGATTGGGAGCTTGGTGATCATCCGGCGGAGCTTGTGGATGACCCAACTCAAGTTGTGAGCGGTTGTGGGTGATTCACCGCGACGAAGTGTCGAAGAATCAACCCGTAGAGAGCATTTGATCCTTGCGCGGATCAAGGGGGAGCTACACCCTTGCGGGTGCTCCAACGAGGACTGGTGGGGAGTGGCGACTCTCCGATACCTCGACAAAACATCACCGCGTTCCTGCTTCTCTCTTTACTTTGAGCATTTACTTTGAGCAATTCGATTTTTATCTTTACATTCATAGAATTGTCATGTTAGAGTAGGATTGGAACTTAGGTTGCTAAACTTTTGTGCGGTAGAATATTAAAAACACATTTAGGCACAAGGGGGGAAGTGGGCTAAGTGTAGGGTTTAATTATTGCAAAGAATTTTAGAATTAGCCCAATTCACCCCCTTCTTGGACATCTTGATCCTTTCACATACAACAACCATAAGAAGATACTAACTGCAAACAATCTATTTAAAAGAGGATGGACTGAAGATACCGATTGTAAGCTTTGTAACAACAATTAGAAAACTCCTGTTCACTTCCCATTTGCAAAGGAGGTTTGGACAATCCTAAAGCAATGGCTGAACCTGTCCGTGTTAGATTCAGTTAATAGTCAAGGCTCAATTTATATCTTTTGGAGGAGATGTCGCAAATTTGATAAAAACCAGAGTAGTGGCATTCTAATCTATTTCTGGTGGAATGAAAGAAATAGAAGGATCTTCCAACATAAAAACCTAAATCCGATTCAAGTGGCTGCACTATGCAAAGATGACATCATGCAGTATCGACTGGCAGTGGCGCCGAGGCAGCAATTTTCCCAAGTTGACCAAGACTAGTTGCTCAAATAGCAGTCTTTCAGTTTTGTTTGCCAGTTTTTCTTCAGTCTTTTGTTGTCGTCTTTCAGTTGCGTTCTTCTTAGTCTCTCGGAGTAGCATATGAGGCAGTGGTGTTTTTATCGCTGCGTAGGTTGAGTTAGGGGTCATGCGGCTTGGACAGTCCACTTTGGATTGTCTTTCTGTAATTATAGTTTGTACAACTTTTTTCTTTTCATCGTCTAATACAAAATGCGGCAAAGTTTTTGCCGCCCTTTCTAAAAAAAATAATGCGAAATTTTGTCCTATTTTATGTTACACACCTTACATGTACTTATTATTATATTAGTACTTTCCTCTTTTTTTTTCTTTTGTTCTTCTATTTGATTCAGTCATTTTGCCGGGGAGCTCGATATAGTTGTATTGGCATCAATCCATATGATGTGTTGGGGTGGATTGGAGTGAAAGTTGAACTAAATTTCACCCCAAACACATGTGGATTGAGGTGAATCCAGCGACATCCAAACAAGACCTAACAGAGTCACATTTGCCCTTGTCGTTTTTTGTTCACAGAGCACCAAGCGATGAAGAATGTGGAGGTAAAGCTCTAGAGAATCAGGATAAGCCTCAACTCTGAAGCAATCTATCGTGATCGATGCATGCCTTGAATTTGCTCTTTCTTCTACTATTTGTTATATACCTTTTTGTTGTCGGAGACTGATTAATGTCATTGAGACTGATTCTTGGTCGACATGGTAGTTGGAACGTTAAAGGAAAAATCATAAGAGTTGTATACGCAGTGTATTAGGTGGAAATGTAAATGTTTGCATTAGGGACAAATGACATGCTGTTGTGCGCTCGTAAATTTGCCACTGGCTTCTGCTGGGCTCGAGACGTGGAGTCGTAAGCACAGATCGGTTGCTGCATGTGGCCATGTGGGGTCAGTCCGGGCCGCAATATGAACCCTGCAGCCACTGGCGTGTGGGCCACGGAAGGTAACTGTGGCCCGCCGAAGAAGGTGCGGCGAGTCTTTTCGCCGCCCGTTCTGAAAGCAGGCAAATGATGCAGAGCACTGCAAACCTTTATTTGGGTTCGAGTTAGGACTGACGGACTGTCACTGTTAGAATTGAAACGGAGGACTTGCAAACGATGCAGCCAAGCAGTACATAGTTGACACAACCAAGCAGATTTTTTTATAACTAACCAAGCAGTTGATGCCTTGCTACACGTGTGCTATCTACAGAACACCTCTCTATATCCGCTCAGTGCTCAAAGTATATAAAAAGAGATTTAGTTGACGAAGATTTGCCCAGAAATTTTTCGGGGGAAAAAAGCTGTGCGCAGAGCTTGGCACACCAATGATAAAGCCATGACTTGTAGGCTCTAGCTCACGACTGAATGCTGAGTTCAGAAACATTGACTGAAACCCTTGCCTATACATCCTCAGAAACATTGACTGAAACCCTTGCCTATACGTCCGTGGAGGACAGAGTAATAAACTAGCTACTCTCAGTAACCTAACAGAGATCAAGATGGTAATTACAATCAATGAAACTGTGAAAAATGTTTCAAGCATTTTTCTCCACATATATGCTTTCACCCATTTGAAAGTTCTGAAACAAGAAAGGCCAACTCAAACCATTTCAAGTCAGCTGAACACATCAAAAACAGAAACAACAAGTTCCTCATCCCATTGTATCTGAAGCAGCAATACTTGATTTCTGAAGAGAGCCACTGTTTTTTTTTTTTTTGACAACAAAAGAGAGGCACTGTTAAGCCGTTGTTAGGGGACTTGCTCTCGTATTCCTCTACGGTGCATCAACATTTGGGTGCCGTAACACTGAAGCCGCTGAATTTCAAGGGAACAAGTAGAATCTTTGGATCAGTTACACACTAGGCAGTATATATTGGTGCAAAGTGTTGCAACAGTTAAGATATGCAGTAACAAGATCAGCACATTGGTTGACAGCTAAAAAAACTGAAATTTCTGGACAGTGAATGGAGATGTTAGAACTGATTTTTCTGAACTGGACGGTTAAAATTCAGTAACAAGATGAATCAGCGTAAACGAATCCAGTAATTTCTGTATTAAGAGAAAAGGATAGAAATCCCACGATAAACTATAATTGTGTAAATAAATGCAACAAAACCTGAAACTATTTCCATCAATCTGCTCTCCTTACTTATAGTGATTCAGATTAGTCCTAACCAAACAAAATTTCTCAGAATCTGAATTAAAGCACACATTAATCAAGTCACAATTCCACTGTCATCAGTATAACGCTATGATCTACTGAACATCTAACTTGCAGCAAAAAGTTTACAGAACTAATTCAAAACTACAGAAAAGGAATGAGCATATGAGCAATGGTTCTGTCATCGTCTGATCAATTCAACACCTATCATGAAATAACAAGTGCTACACAGACTACTGAAAATATGCAAAGCTCACCTGGTGGCATGGTGGTGAGGACAATGATCTCCATCGCCTGCTGGTTGGAAGGCAGGTCGATGGCCAAAGGGGTCAGCCGCCCATGGGAGCCGGCCCGCACGCACAGCGTGATGCGGTGGAACTGTTCGCGCAGCTGGATCGCCAGGTCGCCCGTCAGTTGGTTCAAGGACCTGCCGCTGAATTCGTATGTTCTCCTAGCGAGAGGATCGAAGTTCCCGTGATCATCTGCCCTCATGTATACGATCGTCCGCCACAACACAACTCCAATGGGAAGCTGTTGCAATGGAACCAAAACAAGCAGACAATGCTGGTACTCAATGAACAAATCTGAACACATGCTGCAAAGAAACAAAGTGTTCAGAGCGAAACAAATGCAGAGGGAGCAAGAATTCAAGAACCCGGACAGAACCATTTCTAAACAAACGTAGTAGTGATCTTGGCACAAAATGTACAAAGAATTGCATCAACATCAGGCAGAATTCAGTAGCAGACATCTTCAGTGACAACGGAGGAAAATCTGGCGAAATGTACGTACCAAGAATTGTGCCAAGGGAAGGGGAATGTTGTCATCAAGTTTCGGTGGTTCGAGGCTTCATGCATGCAAACTGAATAAAAGATTCGCAGAACCGGCAGATTCCAAGAAAGCTACGCAAATCAACGCGATGAGTTGCAATGAGAGGGGGACGGCGAGCTCACCGGAGTTACGGGTGGCAGACTGGCAGTGGTGGCTGCTTCGGTCTCAGGGGGATGGCCTCGACCACCCAATGCATCATCGTGCCGGCATTGTCGATGTCGACGAAGACGCGGCTGTTCAAGAGTGGGTTCCAGGGGGCGGCGCGGAGGAGACGGTTCGAGACGTGGAGCATGAGGACGTCGCCGCCCTCATCGTCCACCCAGACGGCCTCCCAGAGCACGTCGTCCTGCTCCGGGCTCTCGTAGACGCCCTGGACGGCGAGGTGGCCGACGTAGACCAGCGACACCTGGTCCGGCGAGAGCGCGAGGTAGCGGCCGTAGGCGGCGCTGTGGAGGAGGACGTAGTCGCCGCTGTTGCGCAGGACGCGGTGCACCTGCCACGCCGTGTTCAGGGAGGCGCGGTGCAGCGTCAGGGAGACGCGCACACCGTCCTCGTCGGCGTGGAGGTACGTGCCGTGCTTGCGGTTCCGCAGCCGCAGGTGCATCCTGTCGGGGAAGAACTCCATCGCCGGGAGGGGCGCGCTGAGGCGAGCGGCGGCGAGGGAGTGGGTTTCTTGGTTTCTTGGCGCTGTTGTGAGGACGAGGAGGGGCAGGTGTTCGTTGAGACGGTTACGTTTGGGCGACGAGGCGGGCCGGGGAATTTGAAGGCCATGGTCTCTGTTGCGGTGGTGCCTGGAGCAGTCGCAAGCGTAGGTCGGTGGCCGGATGCCACCTGTCCACTGCCAGGTGGGGCCAGTCAGGGTAATTACACTGGCTTCTGGGGCCATGAACGATTTTTTTTTCTTTTTTGAAGAATCTGGAGGATTGTTCCATTCCTCTATACGACAGCTCGTGCAAGGTGAAATAATGAGGCCTCTTCGACTGTGAATCTGTGATCTTTCCGGCAAACCTAGTTCTTTGCAAGCCTTCGATCTCCTCCACCACCACCAAAGCATTGGTAAGGGATTTCTACCGTGGTTTTCGCTTGACGTTTATTTTCATCCCCCGTGAGATAGCCCATGGCTAATTATTTATTTGTAATAACAATTTCATTTAAACAAATTATTTGTAATACACAGTGGACGGCTCTAGCATTCTGGGTTGATGATTCGGAGACTAAAATTTCCTGTTAATCTGAAAAAGAAAAATATGCAGCCAGAGAGATAGTAGTGAAGTAGCGGGCCATTTCAACTACCAACTGGCCGGGAGAAAACCCAACCAACCCAAATGGACATGTGACGATCAGTTTACCATTTTTAGAAGCAATTTTGGGTTTTGGAAAACATTCTCGTGAATCACCATTTGTCAAATCGCCCACACACGCACTTCTTTGTGGAAAGGTATCTAGAAGAGGTCATGGTGACCAAGCCGGCTGAGGGGAGTAGCGGGGGCGGACTGCCAGTGTCGTCGTCGAGATGGATACCCCACCACCTGGTCTTGCAAAATAAATGTTGATGCAGCAATGGCAATGGCAAAGGCCTCTGATCTTTCTGCCGCAGTTGCAGTAGCGAGAGATGAAGCAGGGAAATTTTTGGGAGCATAACCAGTTTGGAAGGGATAACCAGTCTGGAAGTAGTGGAAACGATAGCTTGTCGGGAGGGTTTGGCGTTGGCATCGGACTGCTACTGCACAAGTTTAGGGTGGCTTGCGATTGTATCAATGCAGTGAAAAATATCCATGGAGAGGGAATGGGGCTATAGGGGCCAATAGTGAAGGACATCAAGATGAGGAGAGCAACCTTCCCCATGTGGAGTTCGTCCATGAACGAAAGAATTCGAACGTAGATGCGCATAGATTAGCTAGGAGCTATGTATCCATGTCTCTTGGTAGACATGTCTGGTTTTTGTCGCTACCCGATGGTGTTTGTAATTCAATTATGAGCTAATAAAAGAAGTATTCTGGGTTGATTCAAACCAGACAACGGTGTCCTTTTTTATGTCCATTTTTAGCTATTCAACTATTCAACTACAACTATTAGAGTTTTTTTTTGTCATAATACAACTTAAAAAAACCACCAAACTATTAATATTAAAACATTTTGGCCATCTAGCTAGTTTCAAAGGTAGTGTTGTATTTTTCTAAAAAAAATGCAAGCATGCTTATTTCCTAAAAGTAAATAATTAATTATTTTAGAGATATGAAACTGGTATTGAACTTTTTCTAAAAATACAATCCATAAGTTTGTGCTCTACTTGGAGTTATTGGTATTTTTATTGATTCATATTCCTAGTGTCTTATTACTTTTAGTCATGTTCATTTTTTATTTAAATCATCGTTTTGCACTACATTATATCCGAGATTGAAGTAGAGAATTCATAGCAAACTATGAGTATAAACAAAAGATATGTAAGACGACACCAACTTTGTAGGTGCCATGCTCTATCAAATATAGATCATATTTAGCAATTTCAATTATTATGGAATCGCCAGCTCTCAAGAAAAATAATTAGTCAAAGTTAAGGCCAACATATTTGGAACTATATTTGATTATGCATTCTCTTGGTTGATCACTAGTCTTGATCGATCTCTATTCTCTAGTCTCTAGGTTTATGATAGCACAAAGTTATAATTTAAATAAATAACTGATATGACTACCAGCAATAAAACACTAGGAACAATTATAGATAATTTCCACATACATCCAAATCTAGCACCAATAGGCACATTTTTATTTTTAAGAAAAGTTGTGGTGGTTTCATTTTTTTTCTAATTTTAGATGAATTAGTTATGAGATTTTAGAAAATAAAATAACTTTTATCATTTTCAAAAAATACAAACCATCTCTGAAACTAGTTAGGTGGACAAATTTATCTGGTATTAACAACTCAGTGGTAAAAATTTCTAGTATTATAGTTACACGACAAAAATAAAGTAAGACAATGGTTGGAACGTGAAAATAGACTTCTCCCTTTTTGTTTTAGCACTCTGCACTCCTGAGCCCACAATTAACTTTGGTGTATGTGCATGTCATGTGTTTCCTGTTTTTTATGTACATTCATTTATTAACGTCCACGTGGAATTAGATTTAACTTTTTATTGAATAATTCATTGAAACGTTATAGCATTTGATTCATGGTTAGCAATGTTGCACGAATTGCACTTTGGGTTAAAACCAATGCTCTGTTCCTAGTCTTCCAATGGTTTACTAAACAATGTTCCGGTAATTTACCACATGTGGTGTTTGTTGAAAGCTAAAGTTCCATATTTTAACAGTGTCCTACTAGCTCATCACTGATGTTACACCGGTTCATACTTAAATCTACAAGCCACCTTGCGCTTCTGCTCATATAAATAAAACTGAAAGAAAAGGAAGAGGCGTTTCCGATGTATCGTCAACTGTCGAGCAGTCGAACAGGTTCTGCACTTCTGTGCAGAGCTTCATCACACAAACGATACAACAGTGATTTTCAGCTCATGACCAAAAAAGCTAAGTTCAGAAAAATTAGGTTTAAACCATTCAGTAAAGACGGTAACTACAACCCTTCATTTGATACTGTACAAAGTCGTTCAGGCACTATTTTCACACAATGCATCCAGCAATTTCCAAGTTTTGAAACTTTAAGGCCAATTCAAAACGCTTACAGTCAGCAGAGCAAGTTGCTGAGTATTCGTTTTCTGAAGCTTTAAGAGCAGAAAAGCACAACCAGTTCTTGTCTCGTTGTATCTGAAGCAGCTATACTTCTCCTTTCTCCTTTCTGAAGAGACGAACTCCGATGCAGAAGCCTTTGTTCTCGTATTCCTCTACCTCTATGCAGCATCAACATTTGGGTACACTAACTCCTGAGCAGCTGAATTCACAAGGGAACAAGTAAAAATAGTGAAACAGTTAGGCGATAGGAAGCAAGTATTGGTGATGCGATTGTTGTGTCAGTTCAAAAGAAGACATTTAAAAGAAAACAGAAATTTCTGTTCGTTCAAAAAAGAACTGAAATTTCTGGACAGTGAGTCAAAATAGTGGCACAATGTTCTGAACTGACGGGGTAACAATGAATCTCGTTATTTCAACATTCTCACTACTTTTAGCATCGACAAAAAGACTGATATGCAAGAGAAGCTGTAAACACAACAAAAACATGAAAATAATTCTAACAATATACCTCTGCTTATCAGTAGCTTGTTTCAGATTAGTCCTAACCATTTTCTGAAACAGATGTTATTGTAGGAACCCAAAACCAGACAGATGTTGGAAATTACATTACTAAAACAACAAAAAGAACCCAAAAACTCAAGAAGAGGGTACTGGATGCAGAAACTAGCCAAATATATACATTCAAAATCAAAACTAAAGAAACTCTCTGAACATCTGAGCTTAAGTACATGCTACTATGCTGGCAAGTTATAGTTACAGGTTCTACAGTTACAGTTACAAGTTCACTGATCTCTCACAGCAAAGTGCCAAAGTCCAAACAACAGAACTGCATACCTCATCAGTATTCAAGTTAGTAAATGTACTCTTATCAGTTTGATCAACTGAACACCTTTCATGAGAAGAGTAACAAGTGCTGCAGAGATTACCGAAAAACAAAAACAGCAAGTTCTTACCTGGCGACCCGGTGGTGAGGACGACGATGTTCATGGTCTTCTCATCGGAAGGCAGGTCGATGAGCAGAGGAGTCAGCCGCCCGTTTGAGCCGGCCCACGCGCACAGCGTGATGCCTAAGACGTTGTTCGCTTCACCCAGTGCGGCTGCTAAATCTCTCCTCAGGATGAACACGGACTGGCCTTCGAACTGTAACCTTCTCCAGTGGAGCGGATTGAAGTTCCCCTGATCGTCGGCCCGCACGTAGTGGATTGTCCGCCGAAGCTCCACTTGCGGCGGCTGGATCTGGACACGTCGGCACCCAGGGGGCATGGGTACCACTTGAGTCTGTTGCAATGGAGCAGAACTCTAGTGTTTACTGTTTAGGAAACCGAAACAAGCAAACACTGGGAATGGGAGGTCTAAATACACATTGCGATGAGAACAAAATGTTCAGACCTAGGTAACCAGTCCTTGTTACGATGTGGAAAGAAAATACAACCATGCATGGCAAATAGCTCAAATTATTCAGAAAACAAGTCGTGAGAAAGAATTCCAATGATAAAAAGAACTCGATAGCCCACTGAACTAACGCAGATCGAGGAAAAACAGGAACAAATTGATGCAGCTGTCAGCATTTTCCTACACTATTAGGAACATCCCAAGAAGTCTAGCAAAATAACTTCTAGAATGGACAATAATTTTTGGATAGCTGGTGGTACGAAATGGGAAGACAACAAAGACTATCTGATATTCTGAATTTCTGATCAAGAATTGTTCCCTAAAGCGAACCAAAAGCAGAGCAGCAAGAATTCAAGAGCCCAGAACCTCTGCTCCCCCAAGAAAACTTTTGAGCGAAAGAAGTAGTGATCTTAGCCCAAATTGTACGAAGAACTGCATCAAAGATTCAGTAACTAATAGTCACAGTAACAGAGAGAAGAATCCAATCATTAAGCAAGTTTGAATGGGATGTCGTCGGACAAATTCCAAGAACCCTTGTAGGCCCAG